CCCCTCCGCCGCCGTTTTCTCACCATCAACCAGGAAAGCAACATCTCTTTCAAGGCATAGAATGATAGACGCTCGTGCCTCAAGATCTAGATCTTCCCAAGCCTCGTCAGACATATCTATGTGCTTCTTCTCCTTTCCCGCCAATGCCTTGTGCAACTTTTGAGAAATCAACAAATTTTTCATTTGCATTCTCCAATATGAAAAATCATTCTTCCCATTGAATTTTTCTATCTCATACTTCCCAATCTTCACCATTCCTCTAGTAGACATGATTTACTCACTTGTTTACCGAAAATAAATCACAATAGTTCACTTGGGATTTTTCACAAACACCTTGTGCACAACAAAGTTCAAGCAACTCACCACAAAATCGAAGCTTAACCACCTTGATTTTGGAAGGAGCTCTGATACCAAATTGTTGGGAAAACACCTCCCAATTAATGCCCAAAGATCAAACTAAGTTGGCAAAGGGAAAATTTCCAAGACACTTCAAGATCAAGAAAATGAGGAAGAAATGATTTCCAATAGAATATATGAAATTCAATGTGTTTGGATTACTTGAACAAGCCTCAAGTTAATCCTCAAGAAAGAAAATACCTTTGAATTTATACCCAAGATGAACACCTTCAACTTGTAAAATTCTCACCAAAGTTTTTTCTCTAATTTTCTCTCTAGGTCTTGTGTTGTGTTGTAAGAGGGAAAAGAATGGATATATATAGCTATCGGGGCGCCTAGGCGCCCAAGAGTGGAGCCTAGGCGCCATGTTGCTGTTTGGAGACAGCATGCGGGGCGCTTAGGCGCCATGTTTCTGCCGGGGAGGCAGAAACTGGGCGCCTAGGCGCCCACTCCAGGTGCCTGGGCGCCCCAGCAGAACCAGCACCCCTTTCCTCTCTTCCTCCTCCAGCTTCTTCAGCTTCTCTTCTTCCTCTTCTTCTCACAATAGCATACATGTATGCCTGTGTGTGTAGATGTTTGCATACAAATAAAACTAATGCATGTATACGTAAAGAAATGCATAAAGTTGTATGGCTAAAATTACTTTTATTTTCTTAAGAACTATTGTTTCATTTTTGTGGTTATAGATGAAAAATAATTTGAAGAAAAAGGAAGCAGCTATAACTTCATTGGTGAAAAAGTTTGATTTGGAAAAAGAAGTTGCGAATCAGCAACTGCAAAAAGCAAGTGAGGAGAACAAGCGTTTAGCTTACCAGCTGGAGCAATCATGGATTGACATTAAAGAGCTTGATGCACAACTCAACAGTCTTCGAGCCAAAGCAGTGCGCAAGAAGAAGGAACACTGGGAGAAATTGAAGAATATACTAGAATATGTTGCAATCTCTAGGACGAGAATCAGCTTGATGGGTTCAGAGATCCAAGAGAACGTGGTAAAGCTTCGAAAACTTAACTCCAAGCTTGCTGGAAAAAAAACGGAGTTGGCGAAATCGAGGGATGAAGCTGCGGATCTCGCAAAACAAATGCAGCACTTGAAAGACTTGCGCTTAAAGCTTGAAGCACAAGTCTCTACTATGCAGGCTGAGTTGGTTGAAGCCCGAAACGATGCAGAGGTTTTAGCTGGAGAGTTAAAGTCGGCAAAAGAGCTTCTGAGGAAAGATCAGACAAGAAGAGAGGAGGAGGAAGAAGGACCAACGGATGTATCTGATGTTTGAAATGATCACACCCCTTTTGATTTAAATTAGTACTAGTTTACTGGTTTCGTGATATAAGATTCCATTTTGTTTAGATCTCTCTTGCTGGGATGTCAGACTGAATCCTGTTCATGGTGATCCTTGACTTTGATATCCATAACTTCTTTTTGTAGATTCACTGACACTGAGTCAAAAATCCATCTCATCCAGCACAGGAACCTCATTACTTACTGATACTTTCTGTTTTTCTCTAAATTTTACCAAAAATTGTTTCTGTGAAGTTGATAGGAAGAGAGCATAGCACTCCAGCTCAAGTTCAAGAAACATAAATATTTTGAAATTAGCCATCTTGAGAGTTCAAATATATGTGCATGGCAACACTGCAGCATTCAAGAGTTTCTGTAGTAATTACAAATTCACTAACCATTTGAACATATCATTAAATATGGTATTGTTTACATAGAATAAGTAAACATTACTTGAGATGCGATTATGAGCTCAAAGAAACAAGAAGTTAGTCAACCACATACTCATTACCTTGTACAGATCCAATGAACTATATGCCCATGACCGAGGTTTGATATATCCTTCGTGGTACTGAGCAGGAACATTTTCTGCACTAGAAATCATGAAACAAATTATAAAACCATTAACATGTCAGCCATAAAAACAAGATGGGCACATTAGCATTTCATCAGTATATCTATTCAATTGAAAATGATGTTGTAATCACAAGTATTAGCCAGGAATTAATGTGAATTAAGGTCGGTGACAGAGTATAATTGTTGAAAGAGGTCAGCTCACAATTACTTATGAGATTTTTACTCTGATCTTTTTGATTGAGGGAACAAAGACCTTCTTTTTTGTGCTGTATGAAACCGCGCATAAATTATTCCACAGGGAAGTTTATTTGATCCCAATTGCATCAAATAAAAAAAAAAATGAAAGGAGGAGGCAACCTAAACTTTTACATGCGCAAATTTTAACAATAGACAATAAGACACGAGGCAAAGAAAGAAGGGGACTGTCAATTAAGGGTGGAGCACGAGATAAAAAGATACTATTATTAGTGCAGCACCTAGGGCATGAATCTACAATAAAGATTTGAATAGTATTCATATTAAGGCTAATAAAATAAGGGCATGAATTTATACAACATTACAAAATCCATAAACAGTTAAAAGAGTTGGGCACTGAGATCAGGTCTAGAAGTTCTGTAAAAAGGACTTTCAGCTTGCTTAACGGCATACAGCTAGCTTGCAGTGCATTTTTTCCTCTTCTTACAAACTTCCCAACTTAACCAACATCTTCCACTAAATCCACACAAGGACAGCAATTGAGCAATATCACAATAAAGTAGCAAATTGTTCATATTACGTAGCCTATAGAGCATGAGCTAACCTGGAGCTAGTTCCTTCTTCCAATGTCTCTAATTAACATAGAATCATAAACTCCTACAGAAGTAAAAATAGCAGGCTTTTAATGGAGGCAGTTTTCCAATAGCGTCCCAAGAGTAAGGACTCCATACAATTCCATGTTCGTCATGCTTCTTACATGTACTTAGAGCTAATTCAAACTAAGCTGACAAAGAATTCAATCCGGATAATTGATTAAAATAAAAAGACTTGCACCAACCACCTAACCAAGAAAAGTCATCTATACCAATCGATTAGGAAAATTTCCAACTTTCCCACAAGTTAATTCGCATTCAAGTTTTCCTAAAATCCCAATCTTCTAAACAACCCAAAAACCTAATATGAATACTTGAAATTTTCCATGTCTATTGAAGTTTTTTTGGGGAAAAAAAGGTTTTAAAATTCTTACTCGGATAAAGCAAGGATATGTTTGGCAATACAAGGATCGGTGGAAAGAGAGTTCATTTTGTTGCGTGATTGCTGCTCTTCTTGTAGGGCCAATTCCGTTTGTTTAAACTTCTTCTTCAGGTATGCTAACACCGCTTGCTCAACTTGGTCCCAGCAGGTTATAACCTGAAAGGATTGTCATCTTAAAATACTTATAGGTTTTCAGTATTTAATAGAAAGCATTAAAGTAGCCTCTGTTTGGAAAGAATAATTTATAAATGGATAGAAACGAGTGGTGGATAAGTGGATATTACTATCTATTCTAAACTTACACCAAACGCAACCTTGGGGTATCAGATAACCAATCTGCCTTTAGGTTTCATATAGTAATTTACCTTTTTTCCCCTCAATGGTCTCAGGAACATCCCCATTGGCAATTCTCTGACCAAGGCCCTCTACAATTACTGTCATCCCAACGCCAGGTTCTCCAATGAGGCAGGGGTAATTTTCTGTACGCTGCACCAGAATCTGAGTGACAAGTTCAATTTCTTGCTGCCTTCCAAAAGCAGGGTCCAATTTACCCTAAAACCAAGACATCAAGCTCTCCATGAACATGCAAAAGTTAATGCTTCCAGGCATCAAGAAATACAGTGAGACGATTACCTCCTCAGCTAGCTTGGTTAAATTAGTACCATACTCCTCCAGTGTAGGCATCTTGTTGCCTGAACTTCCACCTCCAACACCAGCACCAACAGCTTCCGAACTCTCGCCTGCCATTCTAATAACCTAATTGCCCAAATGGATCAACATATAGACAGTCAGTTTTAAGGGAATCACCAGAAAGCAAAGAGAAGTAGTGATTCTTGCCTGTCTACGAATATTACTTGGGTCAGCACCTAAGTTCTCTAGAACACGAGCTGCCACACCTTCATCCTCACGAAACAATGCCAGAAGCAAGTGTTCTGATCCAATGTAATTGTGACCTATATCAAAAGGCAATAAATTTCAAAGCAAAAGAAATTGATAATAATCGATCCACACAAATAATCACGTGTAAATATGAAGCTAACATAAAAATAGGACCCTTATTTATAAGAGAGAAATAAGATTGGAACAGTAAAACTGTATATTAGAATTAGATGAAGTAAGAGAGCCTATCATGTGCACCAGGAAGGAAAGACACTCTCCAGAAACTAGCACACATTTAAAGAAATAATAAAAAAAGTTGCTTAGCTGGAGAGCTTCCTCCAGCGAGAGTTCTAAAACATGCTTTGCACGAGGAGTAAAAGGTATCTCCACATCAACGAATCCACTACCCTTTCCAATTATTTTCTCCACCTTTAGACGGGTATCTTTCAAATTAATTCCTATTCACTTGAGAACCTTAGCAGCAACCAATAAGTCCCAACAGAATCTGCTCAGTTCCCACAAAATTATGACCAACTCGTCTTGGCTCCTCTTGTGCAAGTAGAACAGCTTTTATTGCCTTCTGTGTACGGCGCGACAACATGGCTGGTGGTGCAAATCTGCATTTTCTTTGTAGTGTTACAGGGGTGGCACCAGATACCTTCGATTGGAGTCACTGGCCAGTTTGACTTAGCATCATATCTAAGGCATTAGGTTCTCGCAATCTTGAGAAATTCCTGATCCTTAGAGGCATTGTTTTTACACTATACAACATTGTAACTAATCTTTGTGGATTCCCAGATCCCTTCAATTGTACATGCCTTTCCCCATAAACTATATTAAGGATATTAATTGACTGAACTAAAGTCCCCCGCCATGATTTCGTTGATGCAATATATAAGAGTATTAAATATTATTTTTACAGCACTTATATACAGTATTTCAAAATAACGTGCAATGCATGTTCAACTCTAACTAGTCATTAAAAATACCACTTCTTGTCCGACCAATATGTCCTAAACATACCTTGTAATTTTGAGAAAATATAGAGAAAATTCACTCGACTTGCCAAAACTTGATACAAAGTTGTTAAATTGGCAATATTAATCAACGTTCCCAAAATTCCATCTAGTCAAAAAAAAAAAAAAAAAAAAAAAAAAAAAAAAAAAAAGGAAAAAAAAAAAAAAAAAAAAAAAAAAAAAAAAAAAAAAAAAAAAAAAAAAAAAAAAAAAGAAAATTCATTATTTCAGCGGATACATGTCTCTTGAGTACGCCATGAAAGGCATCGTGTCAATGAAGTCCGATGTATTTAGTTTTGGAGTTTTACTTCTTGAAATTGTGAGTGGCAAGAGAAATCATAGTTGCTAACCATTGGAGCACCCGTTCAACCCTGAGGACTGTTAGTCCCACTTTATTAAATATAGATACTTAAACTATATAGATACTTAAACTATCTTTTCTTTTCTTCTTTAAATCAACTCTTTGCATGACAACTTGTCCTATCTCAGGGATGGGTGCTTTGGATGGAAAAAAGAGTTCTAGAGGTAATGGATTCAAGATTGGATGTTTTGAGCTCGAACGATAATATTGTCAGATGTATTAATGCAGGTCTGTTATGCATTCAAGACCAGGCCAATGACAGGCCCTCCATGATAGATGTGGTTTCTATGCTGACAAACGATAGTGTGCATGTGCCGGTACCAAAACAATAGGCATTCTTCATTGAGAGTGGTGCACGAGAAGGGGAATGTGAAACCAGCTTAGCACCTAATTGCACCAATGTACAGTCAATTACAGTGATGGAAGTTAGATAAGACAACATTTCATAGAAGATTATGGTTCACTCCAAGAGACGAGATTTTGAACTGTCTTCTTTAATCCCTTCCATCATTCTCCAGTCTTGCTTACCAAATATTCACCAATATCACTTTTCGTACCAATACCTGACAGGGGTAAAGAGCATATTGTCTAAATAAGAAGATTTTAGCTTATGTTTTATTCTTAATTACTATCTGGTATCATACGGTACGATAGACCTTACGAACAAGTCAACTCAGGTCTGTATATGGATGTTATAGTACTGTGGCTACTAATTCTTTATTCTCTAGAAGCTTAGCAGGCTTTGATTGCATTGCTCAGTTTATTTTGTTAATAACAGATTTTGGCAGTTAAATATCTACTGTGTCAATGTCTGTTATTAGTTAATTGATATCTCAATACCTTCAAGTAATAGTCTATTAAAGAATGTATAAAGGATGGGGGGGGGGGTTGTGAAAAATCTGGTGTTCACAAGGAAGATTAACAGACTCTTGAGTGTGTAATATTCTTGTTTTCATCATTTGAATAGAACCAGTATCCGTGCCTTTTTTATGGGAGGTAGCTCTGGAAAATTTTCCATTGTTGGCGAAAGCCAACGGAGTAACTAGAAGGCTTACAGGTTATGAACTTTTTTCTGAAGAAGAAGCAAGGACTATTCTTGAATGATGCTTGGAACTTCAAGGTAGCTTTTTTGTTCTAGTTAGTCTTCGTCATAATGGATTCCGTACCGTCAATTCTGTGTCAACAGTCACGTCGTTCGAAATAATGGGGCACAAATTTTAAGTTCATCATGACCCTTGTTTGAGCCCCATTTCAAGAGAAAGAATGCATTTTTAAATAGTGATTGATGGAGAATGTGTGGTTAAAAATTAAGGAAAAATTTTGGATTTACGCGTAATATTATTTTATTGAAGAATGTGTTGTTGAAAATAAGTTTTGAAAAAATGAATTTATAGAAGAATGGAGCTCAAAAAAGGGCCAAAATCTCGGGTGGTGGAAACTACCAAGATGGATGAAAAGCGTGGTTGTTGGAGCATTATCTCCAAACCACATAAATTTGTGCTGTTCTCGAAATTGTTTCCTTAATCAGAGCTTGCCAAACTTCTTGCACTGCTGTGCAATTTAGTCGAGTAGAATGTTTGAATGTGTTTAAAAGTTATTTTTTTAGCAAACATTAATAAAGTTATAATTTTAAAATTCAGTTTGAGGAATAAATAAATTTCAATTGATTTTAAATGGTGAAACGTTGTAAATTATGGGGAAGCTAATCTTCCACTTTATGATCGGACCGTGTGGGTGGCCAACCGTAACAATCCGATTGCTGATGGATCGGGGAGTCTTTTAATTGACACTGATGGAAAGTTGAAGGTTAATTCCAGAGGAGGCGATATTACCAGTGTTTTTAATTCAGTCCCAGTAACCAGTATTAATGCAAGTGCTACACTGCTAGATAATGGCAATTTTGTTTTGAGAGAACTGAACCCGGATGGCTCTGTAAACCAAACCGTGTGGCAAAGCTTTGATTATCCGACAGACACGATTCTACCTGGAATAAGAATGGGTATCAATTTCAAAACAGGGCATCGGTGGTCGCTCACTGGTTGAATAAGCAAAGAAGTACCATCATCAGGATCATTTACCATTTGTGGATACCCAAATGGCAGAAACCAATTGATAATATGGTATGAGGGAAATGTGTATGGAACTACTGACATTTGGGGCAATGGACGTTTCTCTAACCTTGCCAAATTACTTGATGGCGACTTCACTTTCATTTCAAATGAGAACGAAAAAGACCTTACGTATTCAGTTAATGAGAATATATCTTTCTTATATTACAAATAGATCCATCTGGTATTGTGATGGGAATAGTGTTAGGATCCTTTGGTGTTTGTTCTTTCTTGAATCTGGATGAAGGATGTGTGAAAAAGACATTGCCCGATTGTAGAGCCTGGTTATTGGTTCGAGAGTAGGGTGGGTTACATGCTTGGTGATGGTTACAGATTTGGTGAAAGCTACAACCTTGGCATTTTTTGAGTGTCAGGACAAGTGTGAGCAGAATTGTTCATGTAATGCTTACGCTTCTCACACCACCCAGTATGGAACTGATTGTGAGATTTGGAAATCCAGAGTTACCACACAGGAGAGAAGTGGTAAATATATTTTTTTTCTTTTGTTTTGCTATCGAATATTCTATCATTTATTTTAACAATATTTGTTACAGCTTGGTCACTTTGGTCGGAACCAATTATACTTAGCTTCGGAGTACTTGAAGAAAGCTGTAAAATCATGTTATCGGTATCGTCTTACTGTTGAGAGACGGTGAACGCAAACAGAGAAAGTATCTATACTAAGCGAAATGAAGAAATCGAGGGTGTTAATGGATTCAAGAACGGATGATTCAAGTCCTAAGGATGAAATTGTGAGATGTATTAACGTGGGTCTGTTATGTGTTCAAGATCAGCTCGGAGACAGGCCCTCCATGACAGATGTGGTTTCAATACTTACAAATAATACGGTGCAACTGTTGGCACCAAAGCAGCCATCATTCTTTATTGAAAGCAGTTCACACGAAGGGAAGAGTGAAATTAGGATGCATATTAATAATGGGTAGCATTTCGAGGTCTAAATCAGAACAAATATGTTCATACTGCTGATCCCATAGAGGGCTCTGATTCTTAGTCGGATAGCCTAATGGAAGGTGCAGTTTTGTTAGTTGTTCTACGAAGTATTGTCCAAGTATGTCGAACATACCATCAATGTTTGAGAAATTGTTGGGGTTGCTTGACTATGAAAATGAACATAAATATTTCAGATTAAATCCTTTTCCTTTTTGCCTTTTTCCCTTCTCTAACATTCATTTCTCTGCAGTGCCATTTCACAAATACATGCAATTCAAGTACAAGAGAAACACTCATTAATTTGGTATTCTACGGTATCATTTAGGGAACAAGTACACCAGCTAAATAATCAACTAAGTGCTTTGGTAGATGTTACTTAATTCTCATGCTCTTGTACAGGACCTCGCCAAACTTCTGGTACACATGCTTCTTCAAATACTTTTTCTCTACTTCCTCTCTACCTTTTGTCCCCATTGCCTGCCACACGGATACGTTCTCGAGCAGAAATTGAAGATGTTTTGCAAGAACTCGAGCACCCGGACGCCCCAGAGGATGGAGTAGACCGCTTACATTGTGTTTGACAATCTCTTTGGTGCCTTCAGAAGCCGTTCCCAGAACCTGCACACCACAATATATATATATCCTATCCTATCAATTATGACAAACGCCTGAACCAAACATGAATTCTAATGTTTATTTATTATTTGGCAATAATCAAATATGACTTATCAAAGGAATTGTAACAATTATTTACAAAATGTAAACAATTGATGACGAAATAAAGAATTTTATCCAGGTTTCACAGAACATCAAGAACGACTTACCAATCCAGGATGAACAGACGGCTGAACCTGCAATAATGAGATCTGCTTTCATGGCAGTTTTGAAGCTGAGATCTGTTTTGTCCTCAAGCACTTCGATTTTTCTTCGAGCAAGTTCTGGCATTAGACCGCCCTTTTTGTTAAGGACTATAACAGAAATGGTGGCGTCACAACTCAAAAACTCAGTTGGCAACTCCATCATCGCCAGTGGGGTGCCAGTCATGGAAACAAACTTTCTAGACCCAACAAGACGCACAAACGCACCCTTCCTGTCACAGGTTCCTGACCTTTTCTCCGGACTCCACTCCAAAATCCTTTCCTCTATGGAACCAAATGGACCAACCAAAAGCCCATAAGTCCTCTTTCGCCTTGGAATTTCCTCTTCCTGCACATCAACACCACTGTCTACAACTTCCACCGCCACCTTCGGCTTACTATGGGTCTTCTTACGTGAACTACGTCCTGATTTCTTGCCTTTCTTCTTTGATGATTTAATACTATTTGTTGAAGCAACATTATCCTTCTTTGTCAAAATCACATCCAGATTCTTCGAACTTGACTGATTTGTATCATTTCGTAATTTAGCTGCCCAAGAACCCTC